TCGCCTGCCCCCTCCCATGCTGGCAACGGCCTCTGTTGGCTCTGCCGGTTCAATACGACGAGACAAAAAGGCTTCTTTCACGCTCTCGCGTGCCGCTTGAATAGTCGACAACGCTACACTGTCATAAGCCGTGGCTTTCTGATCAGCAATCATTGCATGGCCGGGCCGGGGGTGCGAGCTCTCGGCCTGTGAGATTGTGATATGAATATGAACCTGATCGAAGTTGTGATTATTCTTGGACTCACAGAAAGGTGCGGTGCGTTTGTGTAGGCTTTCGTCTTAAGCAAGGGATATTCCATGGATATGTTGTTTCGGGGCTTTTTTTTCATGATAATACGTGTCTCATTTATATCATAACGACCATAGTACAAGTTATATACATACCAACTTGACAAAACTGAAAAGACAGCAGACCACTAGCCTTTGCACACAGAAACACCAGCCAAGAAATAAAATTACAAACAAGACTGAAGAATCCTCTGAGCATGACACCAACGCCCGTCACCTGCCTCTGGCAGCACCATAGCAGCCACCAAAGGAGAAAATGACGGATCACCTCCACACCCGAGCTCGACACGGCTCCATCGATGATATGCAGCTTTGCGGACCTCCAAGGTGGCTCACCAATAAAGACGAAGCCATTGCCGTTGAACGAATCAGACCGGAGCAACACCCCGGACACGCCATCGAATTCCAGATCTAGCACCCCCGCCCAATTAAGATGTTGGAGGAGGAAACCATACCTGCATGCCACGAACCACGAACCCAGATCCACCATCTTGCAGATGCCGTCGATGCAGATCACAATCTGCATCCGCTCCTGGACTACCTCTCAAACTCCACGCCGGCGCTGGAGCAAACGCCGTCGCAACAGCGGAGCCCGAGGACAAAGGTCCACCACGAGGATGCCGCCGCCGTCGCCGCACCATCCTTACTTGAACAGTCTGATTTCCAAATTCACCCAAAAAACGAATCGTCTCATTGAGGAAGAATCTGAAAATTTATTAGTCGGCGTCGCCATCGCCGTCGCCAAAACCATGACGATGAACGACCCAAAATTCTAAAAAAAACTAAGGCCTAAAACAATCCACATGCGTGGATCCGACGACCCTCCTTACCACCGACGACCGAAGTCGTCAGCGGAGGGGAGCCGCCGGAGGACGGCGGCGGAGGAAGTCGCACTGGCGGCAAGAGGCGATCGCCTTTCTTTTCTTCTACTGGAAGAAAGAAAGCCTTTCCTCGGTCTCTACGCGAGCGTCAAATCGGAGACCTTGTTGCTTCGGGGCTTGATTAGTACTCCTTCACCGGAGTTGGTTTCCTACCAACGTAGGTGTACTGTTCCATACAATTATACATGCTCGTACATCTAGGAATCTAGCTACTACTACTACTAGTACATAGCTCCTGAATGGTTTGTCCATCATCGTGACTTCGTGAGCCATTTCCCTGTCGTGGCAGGGCAAGTACGTACTGTTCGTACATATTTTCGGCTTCGGTAGTTCACGTGTGCATGCACTGGTTGCGAGAGCCACGCCACCGGTTTCGACGGGTGGCCGCCGGCGAAACGGACCAGCCCTGCCGTGCGCACACGGCACACGCTCGCCAACCCGCGCACCCGTTGTCGCGGCGACACACCATCCACGCACGGAACGGCAAACGCGGGCCGGCCCGGCCTTACGGGCGCCCAAGTCAGATCGGGATCCGGAGAGCGCGACGGCTTTCTTCTCCCGGTGCAGGTGGGGCCGGGCGACGGCGACGCTCCCCCGACGCGTGTCGCGCGGAGAGTCCGGTGCGGGGAGATCACTACTGTATGTGCCTATCCCGTCGACGTCCACGTCCACGTCGACCTCCGCTCCGCTCGCACGCATGAACCGCTCCGTGATCCGCGAGTCGTCGGCACGCCGGGTTTCCCTTTCGGGCATGGCTGTCCCGCCGGCGCCCGGCGGAACGCTTCAACTTGCCAGATCGGCACTAGAGACGCGGAGCAGAGAAATGTCCGGATAATGGCAACCGGGCCAATCATGGCAAGCAGCAAGGTCATTTCCACCTTTTGTTTTTGATGAAGGAGCAAAGGTCACCGCGACTTCAAGGGATGGGTGGCCGCTCTCCTTCCACTTCCTCCCCTTGGAAAAAATACATAAACTGGTTTATTTGACAGTGATCGGCTCTTTAAAGTATGTTATCTAGGAGTAGATCATTTCCGGGCGCTTCTTTTCCTGTCGGGACGGATCGACTTGTGTCAATGGTCCGTCGCCATGTGTGCCGCGACTCCGGGTTCCCGCTCCATGCCAATGCGTCGCACTGTTCTTCAAGGACACGCATTTTTCTAGTCGTAATGACAGCGCCTTCTGGTTCACATTCTTGAGATTTTTGCACCGGAATCCTGTTTCAATCCTTCACGTCTCCTGTCCTGTCACAACGAGTACGGCAATACGCATTCATTAGTTCAGCTAATCAATCGGACCAAAACCTTCCGGTCGAAAACACTGACCAATTTATCCAGTTTAGTATATCATATCCTGTTTGACGTGGCAGATCCTTTTTCACACCACTACTCCAGCCTCCATCGACTTTCTATACTGAACTCACTCACTTGTGTTCAGACTTCAGAGACACCGTATCAAACCGGTTTTCTTACAAAAAAGGCTAAAGGAACTAGGGCATCAATTGGCGGAGATGCCAATGTTAGGCTGTTTGCAACTAGCACGAGAGACCGGAAACGAAATGGCCTGCTTGGATCCCTCCATACTTTAGGCCAAGAACATCTTTTCCCCTCAACCACGCGTGTTCTTTGCTCGGTTTCAAGTTTCAACCAAGTTTGTGTTATTCAGGGCTGAGGGTTTATGCCCCCTGCCCGCAAACATCACAGCAGGGGCGTGACAAGAATTCGGAACATGCTGCCAAAAACAGGAGAGAAAAACATACTTGCGGTTTCATAATCGAATGTCGGTCAAACCGCGATCTGCAAAGATCTGTTGGGGATGCAGCCACCAGGGACAGTTGACCAAAAATCTGCAGGTGGCCAGGACGACTAATTCTGAGTGGTTGGCACTAGGCCTTGCAGAAATTGACCTCTTCAGATGCCATCATCAGAGAGGATTACTATTATTTCAATAGCAAATCAGCAGTCAGAGGCAGGAACACACTAGAATGCCAGATAAGCGCCCAAAAAACGTCGGTTTCAGCTTGTCCATGGCTATGTGTCCAGGCAACGGGAGACTACAGCAAAGCAGTGCAAAGCCTGCATGTCATCCAGTATGTCAGCTCAGAATATAATAAAAAGGGCAACCTGGTGCATGTAGCTCCTGCTTGCGCAGGGTCCAGGAAAGGGTCCGACCACTTTGGGTCTATAGTACGCAGCCTTTCCCTACATTTCTGAATATAATAAATGTGAATAACTTATGTTGATACAGGTGTTCATTGTGAGGATTTTCAAAGGAGATAGGCACAGAAGAATCCCAACTACTTCAGATTTGCACTGATCATCACTAAGGCCATGGCATGGACAGCTTCGGTCTCTTGTAAACTACCGCTGCTTTCTGGTGCGCAAAGCATGTGCCCAGAACTCAAGTGCAGATCATGTCAGCAGCAAAGCACTTAAACCAAAACAAACATGATCGACCAAGTAAGAAGAAGCATGTAAAGACTTTGTGTGGAATGTTTGCACAAGGGTCCTCTATGTAGTCACTGTCTCGCCTCCTGCATGTTTGGCCAATAACCTACAATATTCTAGTTTTCAAAGTGAAACATCCAGACCTATTGTTCATATAATGTAGAACAAGATGTCACATGCATCATGCCATCAAAAAATAACTAAATGTGGACCAAACATCACCTAAAATAATGATTTGGATGTGAACTAGTTATGTTTCCCTTCTCTAAAAGTCACTATCCCACTTCCACCATGTCCAACCAATAGGTTATATGATTGGCATGTTTAAGAAAGTAACTTTACCTGGGATCAATTCGTTTTATATAGGGTCAAAAAAATCAGAATATTTCCTGCATCATCAGAAAGTAACCACATTATCAGGATAACAAAAAGCAAATGTGGTACCATCTAAAGAAAGAAACGTGTATCTGTAGTTGGTTATGAACCAAGCCGCATCAATTTGGAAACGTTAGTTAAGATTTTGTCATTAGCTGCAAATAACTTCACCACGTCGATAGGAACTAAGCCCAGGGATATTGGACGTTTTTGTGCGTGAGTGTCAAAAAATAATCAAATGAAGGCAATCAGATACCATCTCCATCTGAGTTACTAGTATTTTAAGGTAATAACTTAATGGCACTGCATAACACTGACAGTTAGTTGAGGTAATAACTTCTATATAATCAGGTTATGATAACTGCAACAGACGTGGCTTCTTCTGTACCGTCTGGCGTCAAGTATTTTATATACACACTAAGTCGATCGGAGTACAAGATGAAGTGCAGCCAATCACTCTATGGTTCACTGTACAAGATGAAGTGCAGCCAATCACTCTATGGTTCACTACTTCACTTCTTGTCACCATGGTTATCCAGGAGATGCATTCTTCCACCTTGTAATCAAATAAAAAAGAACACATGCGCCATGATCAATATTATTGAGATCATCACACCAACTAACAATTACACAAGTCGGAACCTAAAATGATAAAGGACTCAGATACTAAATTTGCAGAGAGAGCGTTCGTATAATAAAACTGGCCTTTATGCACTCTTCCAACCAAGGACACAAAAATATCAACATATTTATTCTCAACTTTCACTTACTCCACCTTATGTTGACATGTGCATACCAGTCTGTGTACAATGAGCAGCAATGGAGAATGCACAACAAACCATGGGTAACATAACCAGTTGGGCAGTGCATTAACAGGCAGGGAATTCAAAATAACCTTCTCTGATGGCTCAAAGATTTAACATCTAGTGTGCACAAATTTAAAGCAAATCAAAACCTTCTGGTGTCAGAATTCAGGCCTGCATTCATATCCTCAGAAAAGCAACTGAAGCTTCTAATTCCTGGACCAGTTTCCACTCTTTCCCCCCGATTTGTGCTGGAGACAGATATCTGTTATACATATGTCCTTTGAAGCTGCTTTGCACATGTCATAAACCGTCAGTCCGGCAATGGTCACTGCAGCCATTGCTTCCATTTCAACCCCTGTCTTCCCGCAAGTGGTGGCTTCCCCTTCTATGACAACACTAGAGTCCTCTTCATTGAGAGTGAGATCAACACGAACATGGGAGAGATTAATGTTGTGGCACAGGGGTATGAGGTTACTAGTTTGCTTCGCACCAGTTATTCCAGCTATCTTTGCAACAGTAAGTACATCGCCTTTGGCAATCTGGTTTGACGCCACCAAGTTAAATGCCTTCTGGCCTAGCAAGACCCTGCAACTGGCTATAGCTACTCTCTCACTGTCATGTTTGGGTGAGACATCAACCATCTTTGCCTGGCCACTGCAATCAACATGGGTAAGACCCGGTTGTGTCTCCCGGGCTGCAGGAGTGGGATGGACTACTTGCTGCGGAGGATTTGAGCCCAAAGGGCTGGCTGAAGGAGATTCGCCAAATATCGATTCCATTTCCTGGAATTACAAAGTTCAAGATAATTATTAATGCCCAATGACCAAATATATTAGTACGAGGACAGTTCACAATACTCATGACTAAGTCAGAAACCTATATTAGTTTGTGTAGATTTTTTGTCTTTAAGAATTCTGCATACTACAATTCAGAACCGAAGGAAACAGATTCAGTTGGTAAATTCTAAATTGGGAAAGCTTAGAGACGAAAAATGAAACATACTGGATAGTAAAGTATCTATACCCCTAATCATTCACCACATTTCAAGTGAGTCATCTACTTATGGACGTCCTCAATCATTATAACATGTTTTAGTATGATTAAATGGAAATTCATATCTTTAGTTTCGACATCCAGTAAGAATAAACTATACCTCTTTTATTAAGCAAATCTTCCCGGTGATGTTGGTTCACAGGACATACAATCAAAAGTTCATGTTGTACTCAACTAAGTCGTGTTCAGTATCTTTGTTTTCACTGGATAGACGATTAAGATAAAACAAACTGTGTTTTAATCCTGTAGGCTGTAGCTAACAATAGCTGTTCTTTCTCCTTTGTCAGGCTGTAACAGTTTTGTTAGCAACACCACATTTCTGTCAGCAAGGACTTGAAATCAGGTTGTAACTACAGTTTTTTTTTTCTTTACCTGCACTGTAGTACCAGACCTTGGATTTTCTTACTTCCTAAATCAGTGTCATAATAGTTTAAGTCAAGCAAAGTACTGTGTATACATTTTAAAAGACAATGCATTAACCTTTAGCTTCGATTGTCTTTTTGGTGTTCCAATTATACAATTTGTGTCTAGAACATCATTAATGGGATTCCATATCCTTGTTCTGTCATGAGTACACTGAATTATTTGTTTATTATAAAGTTATGAAGTTATGTTATTCAAGGATGGATGTATAAGTGGAATAGTAGTACTTTGGGATTTCTTTCAGTCGATTCGATTTGGCAGCCATCTGTTCAAACATTTTTCTTTTGTTTAGAGCACATGAACTGCACTAGAATATTTTGACATCTTTGGAAGTTAGACACATTTGAGAAAAGTTACACATGATCATGATGGATGAAGAATGAATAATATATAGACAAAACAGCTGTAAGTTTCTATTATTGGTTATAAAAAAATGCAGCTCCAGAATTTGTACTGAACTAGATGTTCATTTCAGTCAGTTGTTTCTGAAAGTTGGAATTACAGGAGTGGTCAAGAGAAGTTGGCCCAACTGTGATTCTTGGCACCGATCCCGTCCATGAATCTGACGGTCAGAATGAGTGGATCCACGGCTCCATGGTTTTCCTAAATTTTATCCAATTAATATTATTCTGAATCAGATGAATAACACCATGTTTTTTTTGGAAGTAACATTGTGATATGGAAATAGCCTAATTAATCCTCTTTGTTGCGTGCACCCTATTTGCTTAACGCTAGATCATGAATTTGCTTAATTTTGCTCGAGTGGATATATCTGCTGATAACTTTTGCTACCCATCAATTTTTTTGAAAAAAAGACACATATCAAGGTTGCAGTTTGGGTGGTAATTCGGATGTCCCATTTTTCTTTTGCCATTGAAGATCCTCCTATACCCTGAGCATATGAAGAAACAAATTTGCTTTAGTTTAATTTAGGACATGTTTTACCTCTTCTTTGACAAAGTTAATTTGTTATCATGTGCCGTGCACCCAAGCCATGAACAGAAACTTCCTTTCTCACATATATTATCTATATTTTGTCTGAAACCATGATTTGTCCATGTCCTATAGTTCATTTGGGTATTAGTCAATATAATTTTCGTGGTGTAAATCATTTGATACATATAACCTGATTTCTGGATGTGTTCTACAGGAAGAGTCCAAGGCTGCACTATTTCAGCCTTTTTTTGCCACATATAGGGAGTAGTAGGCATTAATTCACCAAACTTAAGCGTGCTACAATAGGACATGGTTATCTTACAGCTCAGGCATAAAGGGAAAAGTAACTATCATGATCATGTTGGACACCCAACCTGAAGATACCAAAAAACACCACATGCACGTACACGGCAATTACGTAATTGCCATTACCCAAAGCATCAAACGACAAATATGTCTAGTAATCTAGCCATGTCTAGTCTCAATAAGATGACTAAATAACAGTAAAGGAAAAGAACAGGTTACACATGACGAATTATTTAAAGAGAGAGTGAAGAAACCTAACCCTATTGAGCTCCGCTATAGAATCAGAAGGGATTCCAGTAGCAAAGCATCTCCAGCCTCTACTTCTTTCTATTCTCAGGAGAATGAAGCGAAAGATGGACATGTGTAAACAATTGCCGCACAGTTTACACTTCTGCAAGGAATAAGTAAACAGAAAACAGAGAAATTTTAGCACAGAGATACTCTCTACCTGAAGTCTTAATAACAACTCCAAGGCTAGGCTGCCCAGATATGATGATACAGATACCGCGAAACGGCAACTTTTTAAAAATGCAGCGATACATTTTCATATATATAGATACTAAAACAATATAGATATTAATGATTCTATGCAGGAACGGGAACATAATTGTTTTCCAATCCCATGAGCCAACACACCACTCAAGCTCACCAAATCATGATAACTGCACGTGCAAGCTGCCAAGCTCATCAAATCACAATGACTGCATGAGCAAGACACACCAAGACATTAGTGATTGCACCGGATGTATCCAGATGTATCAGCATATCCGGGCAGTATCCACCTCTTATAGACTGGTTTTCTGCCGTATCCGTGTTTCGTAGCTCAAGGTGAATGTGTGACGAAAACCTACTCATTTGAGTGTATAACATGATTACCCCCCACCCTACCACAGTACCACCACCACAAATAGTTCTAGAACATGACACAATCCAAATCCATGTAGAAATTCAGGAAATCCTATGTCCATTTAATTCTTCCCTGAGTTCCAAATCGCCTATGTCCATTTGGCTTGTGGAACGGGGCTGTCCTTGCAAATTTGGAGGCCCAATTCAAATTCTTATGAAATTGGGATTGATCTGCAATCCCAACTTTTGTGTTTGGTTGCCAAAAGTTCATAATTTCCCCATGGAAACACATGGCAATGCCAACTTACGTCTGCCTATTCCTCAAACAATAATGTCTAGCTGCCCAAGGTGGATTATATTCCCTATATGGTGAGTAACCTGATCGTATATGTCAAGTTGGGTGTATTGTAATTTTTGTAATTTTGTTCATATGGGGAGAAAATTAACAATAAAATGGAGCATTCATATTCCCCACCAAGCATACCTCTCGCAAAGACCACCATAAAATTTCACTCAATACGAGATGGAAGCCTGATAGACCATATAATGCAACCAAAGAGAATGGGGGAAGAGCCCTCCGCCTGCTGCTTCGATGAGTACCCAACACAAGAGGCGAGAGAAGCCTACCTATGTCCGGGGGGTGCGTCCTTGGTGCAGCTCCAGGTGGACTGGATCCTCGACCAGCGTCGAGGAGGACTCGACGACGGGCGGCTCGTTGGGCGACGGCGGCGCAGATCCTATTCCTAGGGCGGCGTCGAGGAAAGGGTTCGTCCGGTCGGCGGTGCCGCGGCGGTGGGTCGGACGAAAGGCAGCAGCGGGTCAGAAGGTTGCGATCACTACTCGGGCCAGGCGCGGGAGGCCCACGGGAAAGATGTACCGGCCGGCCCGTGGGTGCGGTTGGTTTTGCGTAGTGAGCACGGGCCATAAATTGAGAGAAGTTGATCCTCAAAAAACAAAAAACAAAATTGAGAGAAGTTGGGAGTCACTAGAGTCGTCGCGGATTTCCTCCGGATTCAGGCGCGTTCACAACGAAGCAACCTGAGAACGGTTAAAGTCAAATACCACTTTATGATTTTCTCAAAATAATCATGAACATTACTTTTGTTTACAAAACTATTTAAATGTATGAACCGGTTTCAAATTCATTAACATTTTTTTACTCACCAAACATTTTTTGAATCAATGAACTTTTCTTTAAAATTGGGAAACAAATTAAAAAAACAAAATATTTATTTTTATTTTTGTGAACATTTTCTAAAATGTATTGTACATTTTTTTCATATTCCGGAATATGTTTTGAATACACGATCATGATTTTCGGAATATGTTTTGAATACACGATCATTTTTTCAAAATCATGAACATGATTTTATTTCCCGACCATTTTTTCAAAATTGTGATTCTTTTTAATTTCGCAAACAGTTTTGCAAAACCACCAACATTTTTTGAATCTGCAATTTTTTTATGATTTTCTAAACATTTTTGAATTCACATATATTTTATGATTTCTCAAACATTTTATTTGTGAAAACTCGCAACTTTTAGAATATTAAAATCACGAATTAATTTAAAGAAGAAAGAAGAAAGAAAACATAATGAGAAAAGAAAAGACAAAAAGGTAAAATAAAAAAACAAGCAAGTAAAGCCCCACAAATGGGCCGGCCCATGAATGCATACATGGGTAGGACATGCGTGAGAAAAGAAAGATAAAAAGTGTGAGAGCTAGGGATTGAACCCTAGTCTCATTGCCAGAAGATCTACCAGCCAACCACTCTGCCATTCATTTTTCTGTGTATTCTACTCGTCGCTCCCCTATAAAACAATGAAGGAGGTGGCGATTTTTGGTCCGAAAAATTGAATCGTTTTCTACTTATGGGTGGCATTGGTGGGTAATTTTTATCAACTTGAAGGGTACTTTTAATGACGGACGACCAGAAGCTATAGCCGCTTTATTAATACACGCACCGAACATCCCAAAAATATCCAGAAAAAAAACAAATAGAAAAACAAATAGAAACAGAAAGGAACAAAGGAAGAGAGAGGAGGGCCGTATCGTACAGGTAATGGGCTTGAGAAAGTTGAGGAATTGACACTCAAATTTGTGATCAGTCGAAAAACCCAGGTCAAGACAACTCACCAAAAAAAACGCAAATCTCAAAGCAGAAATCGATGAGGAAAAAAAAACTAGCTGACCCAAAATCAATTTTCTGGCAGTTTACATATGGCTAAAATGATTTACGCCTACAAAGGCTAAAATGATTTATATTAAATCAAAAGCAAACAGTGAAGCTAATCAAACTATGCTTAGTTCAAAATTGACGGGCGTTCAGACGAGCCGCGACGCCGGCGAGCCGCAAACGTCTTTCCCGGCTCCGAAAGACAGACGGCACCCCCGGGCGACCCTCGAAGCCCTCCATAAGCTCAACCCTCTCCACGCGCTCTCACCAGCAACGCACCAAGGCGTTGACCTCAGAGCTTTAATTCCCCAACCCCCACCACCTCCCATCGCAGACTCGCAGAAGCATCCAAACAAACAAGAGAAGAAGTCGATCGAGAGCAGCACCGGCAGCCGCGGAAGGGAGGCCAAGAGACGACCGAGCGGCGGCAGCATGGACCGGAACATGACGGGGCTCCTGCTCGGGTGTGTGGGCGCCGCCATGACGGTGCTGGCGTACCAGCAGACGGTGGTGTCCAGCACGCAGTGCATCGGCGCCGGCCTCGCCGTCCTCGTCTGCGCTCTCTGCATCAAGGAAGGCTTCTTCTCCTTCTGATGCCCGCCGCCCGCGTAGCGCACAGCTTTTGCCGGTTTCAGTTTCCATATTCCTTTGTAGCTCCTCCTGGTTGGATCATCTGATCCGCATATGATTGCTGCAGATCGAAGTGGTTGTATCTTGTATTCTGTAATTTCCTCCCTTTTCTTATACATACATAGTAGTTTTTTGTCTGTCTTGAAGCGTGGCTGATTGCATCTCTTTTGTTGTTGTTGTTGTGCGCTGATTACATCTCTTTTACGACTAAATTGCGGTTTCTGCCTTTCTTGGATGCATACAACCAGTCAAATCCCCTAACCACCAAAGGAGAATCATTCGCCTAAAATGGTTGACTTAATGTACTCCATTGCTTTTCGTACTACTTTTTGTACAAGAGACAGTCTAGTGTTTAACAGGAATACCTGCAAGCATCAGGAAATGAAATCCGCACAACTACAATAACATGGAATGCCGATGAAGTGCCGTCCTACAATAGCATGCAGTTACCTGCTTTACTAGAAACAGAAATACTCATCTCGAACGTAAGTACATTTTGAGCGTAGAACTATCCGTTCTGTACTATCCCTGCCTCATCTACAAACTGCCATGACACGAGACAACACTACGTAGCTGCTGTTCAGTTCAGATGCGCTGTTGGAAATTTTGCATTGCCGCACAACACCAAGCAGACGGACAGAGGGGTGCCGCCACCATCATCTGAAGTCGTGAATGATCTTCAGAACTTCAGAACTCGTGAATGATCTTCTGCAGAGAAGAGTAAGTCCCACTTGCGGCAACCAAGGAGCCGAGAACGATGATCATGACGATCAGCGCGACCTCGGCCCTGCTGCACCTCGCCGTGCCGAAGATTTTGAGGTAGCAAATGCACGGGAGCAGCATGGAGGCCATGACGCTGAGGAGCGAGCCGACGAGCGCCATGAGGTGGCCGAAGAAGGGGACGGCGAGGGCCACGATGACCGTGCTGATGACGATGAAGGTCCTGATGAGCATGTTGAGGGACCTCTTGTTGCCAGCAAGCAGCTTCTCCTCGATCGCTGTCGCGACGGGGGTCACCATCAGAGCGTACTTTGAGAACGGGTTGATCAGCGCCGTGTAGATTGCTAGCTTGGAGCTGAGCTTGCCCTCCGGGAGGTTCAGGGTCACCTGAGACTCGACGTCGTCGCCGTACATGAGGTAGCCCAGTATGGCCATGGATCCGTAGTTGAGGGTGCATGCCACGAAGCATATGACCAGTACCTGTCAATGCACTCCAACAGACAGACATGCCAAATCTTCAGTCATTCAATCTACTGTACTTTTTAGTTGAGGGAAGTGAGACATCGTTCAGCATAGAACACTGTTAGGTCACCGTCACATGTTTTTTAGTATCAGATCTATTGCACGTTAAAACGCCAAGAAAAATACAATGATGAACAGTTTGGGAATGTCTTGGCTGGCGTTAAAATGATAGGCCACTCATTGATTAGTGATTACCTTGGAGAACTTGTCCTTTTCCTTCATGGAATTGCACAATGTCGGGAATATGGCGTGGCCGCAGTAGCAGAAAGTGTAGAGTCCGAGCGCGGTGGGTAGGCCGCTGACGTTGAGCATGGTGCCTTTCCCCTGAAAGCCGACGCCGTCAACCACCGCGGCCCAGAGCACGCAGAAGACCAGCACGACCGACGCGAGCACGCCGCTGGCCGACACGTAGGCGAGCACGCCCAGGTTCCTGAGCCACGTGGTGGGCAGGATGACGATGGAGACGAGCACGATGAAGAGGTGCTTGCCGGAGAGCAGGAGCACGCCGCCGAGGCTGAGGCTGGCGCCCGGGAACAGCTTGTCGAGGTTGTCCCCCTCCAGTATGAGGAAGCCGATGGCGACGAGGTAGAGCTCGGCGTACATGAAGGCCGAGACGGCGAAGCGGCCCTTGGCCCCGAAGGCGCGCGCGCCGATGTCCGGGTAGCCGCGCACGTCCGGCGACGCGCCCATGCACGTCTGCAGGAGCTGGCCGGTGTAGCAGCAGACGATGGCGACGAGGAGGAGCAGCACCAGGCTGAGCCACCCGCCCTCCGCCAGCGCGTACGGGATGGACAGCAGCCCCACGCCTGAAACCTCGACATCGACCGGTCAGTCAGAGTGGGCCGACACTGTCAAGAAAGGGCATGGCCGTACCGAAGATACAGATTGTTGCAGGCAACGGAAGAAAGATTCGGGCTCCGGACTCACCGGAGAGGGCGTTGAGGCCATTGAAGCATGTGCGCAGGGACGTCGCGCCGCCGGCCGCCGGCGAGCACTGCGCCTCGTGGTCGTGCGCCGCCGCGGGGTCCTTGCCGGGCAGCAGGCCACCGTGCGCGTGGAGGAGTGGCTGCTCGAAGCCCGGTAGCCCGCCCGGCGAGTCGTGCGGCGCCGCTCCGCCAATGGCCATCTTACTCTTATCCTACCTCCACCTCTAGGCGACGCCTCCTCTAACGAAGCTCTAGCAAAGACCAAATATTTTCACGACGGATGGAACAGGCAGGGGGCAGGGAGCAGGGAGAGCGCAACGAGCATGTGGCGCTGCGGCTGCGGCCTGATCCGCGGCTGTATAAAAGGGAACCCTACCTCGGCTTCTTCCTCCTCTCCTGCGTGCGGCGCCGACGACGGGTCACGAGTCGGGAGGCCCACACGGCTCGGGAGCTCTCTCTTGTGCGCTGCGCGCGCGGCCCATGCGGTTTGGGAAGTCCGAGAGCAAGACTCCGCGGGATCTGCGGCGTTAGATCTGCCATGTGGCATGCTGCTCTGGTGTTCCGCAGGGACTGGAGATTTGGAGTAGAGTTTCTTTTCACCCTTCTTTCTTTAGTATCCCCGAAGGATGGGCTTTGTACGATGTCACGTCTCGTCTTATCAAAAAAAAAGAGTTGGATCCGAGGAAACCTTTTTCTTTTTCTTTTGAGGGTAATCCGAGGAAACCTCAATGGAACGGGTAACGTAGCCTTCGTTGCTCGCTCCCGACCGTTTACGTGCGCATGCAGCTACACTATAGTACACATGGTCCGTTTAGTTGCTCCCGTAACTAGGAGTACTACTACTATATTTTAGGAAAGCCTCTTGATTAGGTTGCATGAGTGGGCATGCCGTGGCTAGCGCTCACGTGCAAGCATTAGTTTTATCAGCCTAGTGGTTCGCACCACTGAGCTACTTCTGTGGCGCACCACGGCATAGGGAGTAGTGCCTCGTGTGTGGCTTGAGCCCTGATATGCCGTCACAGCTGGCCAGGCTCGTCCAACGGCACGTTAACACGTGATAAATGTGTACAAAGTTCGCTGTTATTTGCAACTAAGGAAAATCAGATGTTATTAATAACAATGTCGTATCACTATAACTACGTGACCGGGGCGCGAGGTAGGGCGTGGCGAGCAATCTTCAAATCATTCAAAATAACTACTGCTACGTGGCCAGGGGCGTTACCAGCTTCCCCTGTATTTGCCCGATAAGCCGCCGGTCGCAAATGTTTGCACACAATCACACCCACATGTTTCTTCATATCACCAGGAGTCCAGGACACATTTCGTTCACACGCTGTAACTAGCAATGTGGCCCAAGACCCGGAATTCATGTTGTATACGATCAACCAACGACAAGAACGCACCGATGCGACAAGTGAACGACAAATGCACCAATGCGATAGGTGAACGACAAATCTCCCGTGTGCTGGGACGGATCCGTCACCTTGCTAGCTCCATGGTCTCAGCCTATTACTCCAATCATCATGGACATTACCCCCCGGCTACATGCATGTAACCAGCAATGTGGCACTATTAATATCTCCCTGGATCATGATGAGCTTTTATTAAGGCTGTCTATTTGACATTTGACTGTTTTTCAATTCGAAAACAGTCAAACTTTTTGACCAATCAACACATTACACCTGTATGAGCAGAAAAATCAACAGAAAGCAAAAAAGAACGCCTAAACAGGTCGGGGGTAAACATCAAACCCGGGTCGGGGGTAAACATGTTAAATAACGGAGAACCAATACAAAGGTAAAAAGCACTATATTATAGTCAAATTTCCTGATAAATCAAGTGCTGACACCTATGTCCAAATACCATGGACAATTGTATGCTCGTATTTCCAAAAAAGGGGTCGTGTGGCTAAAATCTAACCCAGTTCTAACTAATAACCGAAACAAAACAAGGCAACTATCACCAAACCCTCCTGGACCGTTGCCCATGCTCTTTTTTCCTTTCCTGGACAACAAATCACCTGACAAAGAAAAGGAACAAAAATCATCAGAATACTGGCGTCTCCCAGGACCCTCCTTTAACTTGCATCACACAAGTCATCTGGGAGGCGCCATGGCCCATGGGAGAGGGGAAATGAGAAGAAAGAGTAGAAAAACATCAGAGAGACGTCATGGGAGAGAGGGAGTGAGAAGAAGGAAGAACAAAAACAAGTCAGAGAGGCACATCAGAGGGGCAAGTACCTGGAGAGAAGCAAGGGGGAAGAACAGATCTGAATAATTGGTGGTGGACAAAGGAAGATCATCCAAGAGACGGTCCACAACTCACAAAATGTCCTACTCCTTTTGATCACACTTCTATTGAACTCTTCCATGTTTTTCCTCACCCTGCTGCTCTACATACACCTGCTACATGAACTAGCCTGCAAAAAAACCATCATACAATCTAGTGAGAATTTTGGAATCGTCAGGGGAAAAATTCTAACTGTCGGAAGTTAAAACTGTTAATATTTCACTGTCAAACACTACACCAACACGAATTCCAGTGTAACGTACACATGAAAAAAAAACTTTGCTGCAGTATAGGGCAATGTAGGTAACATGAACCATGAGGAAATTACATGAAAAAAGTTGTGTTGTAGTACACATGAAAAAATCTTTGCTGCGATACATGGCAATGTAGCTAACATGAACTCAGGGGAAATTACAGAGTTAGACAACTCATGACATTCATGGAAAAATGAGATGAATTCCAGTGTAATACCTACATGACATACAATGCAAACTGGGGGAATATTACACCGTATTCCAGCATTATTTAATACAATTCAGAATTACAATGTGATTCTGGGGGATATTACAATATAAATTTGGGGTATGTATATTACAATGTAATCCTGGGGAATATTACACTACAAATATAGTGGAAATTACAGAGAAATTAAGAGGTATTACACTGTAATTCAAAGAGTTAAAATTCACCGGAAATTCAAGCAAAAGCTGAACAGAATAAGTACAGAGATACATGCAAGTTCGTATGAAGTCATGAATACAGAGACAGACCTATCAGCATAAAGAACACAAGTCCTATCAGATGAATGCATTAATATTGACAATCAAAAGTAGAGCTTGTTACAGTGCTGGTACACATGGACAGTGAAGGAAATGAATAATCACACTAGTGGATTACAATGATAATAACCAAGAGACTACACAAGGATAATCACACAAAGCAGAGTTAAAATCCACTGTAATTCAAGCAAATCTGAACAAGAATGAAGCCCAAATATCAAATAATACAGAGGTTCATCGGGAAAATTACACTACTTTGTTTAGAAGAAGAAAAATTAGACTGAATTTCTAGGAAAATTTACACTGCAATTTGGGGAATAATTACACTATAATTACATAAATAAAGCATGAAGTTTACACTGTAATTATGGGGAAAATTACACTGTAATTACATAAATGAAGCATGGAGTTTACACTGTAATTCTAGGAAAATTACACTATAATTCTGGGAAAATTACATTGTCATTTAAAAAAATGAAGCATTGGGATTACACTAAAACCTGGGCTAAATTACACTGCAATTCTAGGGTATATTACACTGCAATTACATAAAGGAAGCATGGGGATTGCAATGAAATTTTTGGATACATTACACTGTAATACTAGGGGCATACTACACTGTAATTTTAGGCTAAATTACATTGTAATTCTTGTGAATAAAAAAGATAAGTCATTAGTTGTAACTAGATCAGAAAGACTCACATGATTCACATAGAAATTGAAAGTAGTTTTATCAAAACCCCTATCATCACTAGAAAGATCCTAAAAAATAATTCAGTCAACAAACAGAAATTTTAATAAATTGAAAGAAAGAATAAAAACGAAAATGAAAGTAGAGAACAAGACGAAAATAACTACCAAAGACATAGCATTAGAACCATCTTCCACAAAGTCATTAGGCACAAAAGGATCATTCAAAGAATCAGCCCTCTCAATAGAAGAAACTACCAAAACATCATTGTGAGAGACTTCCCGTAGTCTCCCCATTGACCTAAACCTAACAAAACATAATACATGACACACGAAAGAAAATAAAAGAAAGCTGAAAATTATAGGGTAATGGGGCTCAATTACAAGGGAAATCTCACAACAAATAATACATTGAAAGGCAGCAATCAGGGGAATTATAGAGTAATGGGGGCATATTAATACAGTGGAAGAATCACTTAAATACAGTGTAAAACCAACCTAAATACAGTGAAACTCTGAGTAAAAATACACAATAATTAGGGCAACTTACAATGAAAAGGTAGAGGGAGAACACTGCCAAAAACTGAAGATAAATTATATAGTAAGAATGGGGGATATTACAGTGCAAAACCACATGAATGCATGCAAAACATCTGAGAAAAAATACAATGTAAATAACAAAGAAACTGGCGCAGTATTACACTGAAAAAATATACACTGCAATTTACACTGAAAGAAGCATGATAATTACACTGTAATGGGGGTAATTCTAGGGAAAATTACACAATAATTACAAAATAAAGAAGCACGAAAAAAACAATGTAATTATGGTATATTACACTGTAATTGCAGGCTAACCTACAGTGTGATTCTACGACACATGAGAATTACAATGTAATGGGGGGAAATATTATACAGTAATTCTAGGACAAATTACACAGTAATTACAAATAAAAAAGCACAAAAACACACGGTAATTACGGTATATTGCACTGTAATTGCAGGGTAACCTACAGTGTAATTCTACGGACATATTACACAGTAATTATAGCAAAATTCACACTGAAGAAAGAAGCATCGGGATTACACTGTAATTAGGGGGAAATACACAGTACTACTAGGACAAATTCCAGAGTAACAGCAAATAAAGAAGCATCAGGATACACTGTAAATGCACTACAATTATGGGGTAAGTTACACTGTAATTATGGGTTAAATTACACAGCAATTCTGGATGGGGATACACTGTAATTCTAGGGGTAAG